TGTAGAATTGTATAGCATAGAGGCTCTCTCGCGCGCGCGGGGGGCGGGGGGTGCAAATCAAAATCCAATTAGAAGAGATTGAAAAAGCTTGATTCAAGCCCGAGCTTGCGTGCGCCGGCACCTGCGGCCAATCTGTGTTCCTGCTTTGTTTGCCGGGTTCTTTGTTTAGGTTTCTTTGTTTAGGTGCTTAAACAAACAACCGTAGCATGTTTTATCCTGGGAAACCTAGGCTACAACGCTCATAGCACTTGTGGGAGGTTGCAAATAAGGTTTTAAGGAAAAGAACTTTGTGTTCGAACTCGTGCTAAACCTATACCCAAACACTTCCACCTTTTCCTTCCCAGTTTTTCTGTTTTCCCATACAATAATAATTTTTCTGTAGAATTATTATTTTGGGATTTTTCAACCATATTACCCAACATACTTTTGATTTAAAATTCAAACTACTTTGTTTTATCCATACATAAATAATAGAAATCTTTTAAGGATTTTGAGATTAAAATTTTAATTTCTAATTGTTATTTTTATATATTATATTATATTATATTATACTATATTATATTATGTATTATATATTATATATATTATATATTATATGGCTCGCGAGCGGCTCGACGAGCCACGAGCCTAGAATATCTAGGCTCGGCTCGAGCTCGATTACTAAACGAGCCGCTCGAGCTCGACTCGAGTTCGATTTTGACTGAGCTCGAGCGAGCTTTGACCGAGCCGCTTGCGAGCTGCTCGGTTCATTTACACCCCTAACGTAAGCAGACAACCTGATGAAATATATGGTAACCTGCTATCAGGTGAAATGGCATACATTTGGGGTATTTAGTGGTCTAATTGCACGTTTTTTTCGTTCTGTGGCCTAATTACATTTTCAGGTTATGTTCAGTGACCAATTTGGACTTTATTCCTTATATTGTGGACTCTATCCAAATTATTTACTTGCAGTAGTTAATAAATTTATGTACTTATAACAATTAGCATATTATGTAGTTAACAAATTAAAAATGTTAGGTATATAATCTGAATGTCGTTTAGACTTCCACAATGCAAGGTGAACCATCGTGGATCTTGGACCATAGCTAAATCATGGCAAATTATATTATGGACCATAATTCACATTACAATGTGGATCACAAATAAATATTCATTTAGAATATATTGAATGTTCATTTTGAATATACTGAATGTTTATTTTTTGGTAATACACTTGAAAATAAATCTCTAGTATACTAATAATGAATCTTATGCCAATGGTCCATCTTGTAAGGTGGATCATGGACCATGGTATAATGATTGCTAAATCATTCGATCATTATACGGTGGACCATGGTCCACATAGCTCATGGCCAACATAGCAGTCGTTACATTCTGTAACTCGTTGATTTTTTTTTTTGGTGATGTAAAGAAACTACACTGTGTATCAAAAGAAACTAAATAACATATCTCACAAATTGAGTGTATATTGTCAAACGAAACCATCGTGTGTCTAAAATGAAACTAAACAATTGTCTTCCAAATAAAAATTGTACGTAGTTGAATAACAATGATACTTTAGTGGTGCCGTAATGAAACTACATTGTGCATAAAATAAAACTGAATAGCAAGTCTCACGTATTGAATGTATATTGCTAAATGAAAATGTTGTTTAATTAGAATGATACTTTGGTGGTCTTGTAATAAAACTACAATGTGTATAAAATGAAACTGAATAGCAAGTCTCACATATTGAGTGCATATTATGGAATAATGAAAATGTAGTTGAATAATAATTATATTTTAGTAGTATTGTAATTAAACTATATTGTCTATATAAAATGTAGCTAAATAGCATGTCTCACATATTAAGCGTATATAGTTAAATATAACTGTAGTTAAATTAGAATGATACTGTAGTGATGTTGTAATGAAACTTAAATGTAAATAAAAGGAAACTCAAAAATGAGAAAGCTTGCTACATAGACCATATATAAGAATTTGCCGTCTACCATTATTAACGGAAAAAACTTAAAATAGGGCTATTTTGGCCATGGTCCACAGTAAAATTTGCCTAAATCATCACTTTGAGCTGGACCTCACACTAAGCTAGATCCAATGGGCTTACTAAATCATCCCATTGGGTTTTGGGCCAACTTTCATGATTATCTCATCTTTCATGAAAGCTAAGAGACTACTTGCTGAATGGTGATTCTTCTTGTTATCTTTGTTCCTGCAAAAACAACATAGGTGAAAAATGAACTACCAAGCAGCTTCAAGGCATACAGATACCAGCAACACAGATGGTCATGTGGCCCTGCCAATCTTTTCAAGAAAATGGTCATCGAGATCATGACAAACAAGGTATAGTACAAACTAACCAAATAATTCAACAACGTAATATTAATAATGTTTACCCAATGATGGATATATTAGGAGAAGGGACTCGGGGCAAACCGACTCGGGGGTCGCGGCGTGATGCGAAGGGCTTGGGAGACCCCAATTGGGTCCCCGACGTAGACCTCGGCTGAGGTCTACTACGTAGACCCCAGTTGGGGACGACCTTAGCGCCGACCAAGGTCGGAGTCAACCTCGGCGTCGGCCTCAGCCGGGGTCGGCCTCGGCCAGCTGAGGTTAGGCGGTCACGCGGGGCGTCTCCGCGTGACTCGGTCAACTAAGATCCAACCGCCCGCCCTATTCTCTTGGGGTCGGTTGGGAGGATTATTTAGTATAAAAGACATCTCCTTGTCTTGTTAGGACATCTACACTTTATCTCACTATTACACTCCTTATAATTCCCCTACAAAAGATTATTAACACAACAGTTGTCCCTGCGGCATATACATTCATTGCCTTTTCCTATTTATTATTTATCGGGTTTAGTGACTCCGACCTTGGCCGGCGCTGAGGTCGTCCCCAACTGGGGTCCACGTAGTAGACCTCAGCCGAGGTCTACGCCGGGGACCCAGTTGGGGTCTCCTAGGCCCTTCGCATCACGCCGCGACGCCCCGGGTCGGTTTGCCCCGAGTCCCTTCTTCTAATATATCCATCATGAGTCCTCCACTCTCTGAGTTGCGAGTCTTCATCAACGAAAGAGAGTAGCTCGAGTCGAAGGTCGGCCCCAACCGAGGCCGACGCCGAGGTCGACCCCAACTGGGGTCGCCGAAGTCACCTCATATCGCACCGCGACCACCTAGGGGCCCTTGGCCCCTTGTACCATGCCTTCCAAGGTCGGTTTGCCCCGAGTCCGTTCCTAATATATCCATCATCCAACATGTCATCAGTTATTACTTATCTATTAATTTACCTTAAACATGTGCAGAAAGTGTCGATTTGGAAGAAAGTATACCTTATATACGCCTTTTTCTTTGTCAATAAAATCGTCGCACACATTGTCACCTTCACCTACTACTGCCTCGTTTTGCCCGCAACTGTTTTGATCCCACAAGTCCAAGTTCCCATTTGGGGGGCTGTTTACGTCCCTTTAGCTGTGGCTGTTCTCAGTGTTCTTCCCACCCCCAGGTAAACCTTAATTTGTTTTTCCTAGATTTTTTTTTATATTTTATTTTTGGTTCTTTTCTGAATGAAGATTTTCTTAAACAATTTTGTGTTTGTTTTTGCTGATTTTTAGATCATTCCATTTGGTGGTTTTATGGCTGCTTTTTGAGAATGTTATGTCCCTTCACCGGACTATTGCAACGTTCATCGGCCTTCTTGAAGTCGGGAGAATCCACGAATGGGTTATTACCGAGAAACTTGGCAATGCCCTGAAGGCTAAAACGGGGTCTAAAGCTTTAAAGAAGCTTCCTCGTTTTAGAATTGGAGAAAGGTATACTTTTTGTTTTATAAAAATGATGGAATTAATAGTTGATTATTAAAAGTAAAAATATGTCTATAATCTTGCCCACAAAAAGTGAAAACTCTTGTCCGGGACCTTCACATCTCAGCCCGACACGATTTGTGGGGTGGTAAATTAAATTACAATGGCTAGTGGCCTATTAGATAGAAAAATCAATGCTTTGTGCCCCCTACATTGAGTGTGACTCTCACATTGCGGCTGAACAGACTCTATCTTGCGTTCTTACTCACAATTTGTCATTTAGGAACTAACTTAGTTACCTGTGCGTGCAAAAATGTCTATAACATGCGTAATGAAAGTGAATTTTAATTCTTAATAATGATTTGGAATTGATTTAATTTTTTTTTTTTTGATGTATAGGCTGCATTTGTTGGAGATCATTGTTGGATTCTACTTCCTATTTTGTGGGTGGTACAACTTTTGTTTTGGAGAAAACTATTATTTTGTATATTTGTTTCTCCAAGGATTGTCATTCTTAGTTATAGGATTTGGTTACGTTGGTGCATTTGTCACAACTTCTTAGCTCAGGTTTGGAAGATTGAGAACTTGGTTTGGGAGGATGATTTGATTGTTAAAACTCACGTCCTTTTATTTTGCAATTGTTATTTTAAAATTAAAAAATATAAATATATTATCATTTTTGTTTTATTTGTGATATGATGGGTATGTTTGGAAATCAAGAAATAACTTTCGAAAGATTTTTTCTTAAAATTTTCAGTATTTTGTTATCAATAAAAAATAAAGTTAACAAAAAATACTCATTCTGTTCAAACGGAAAATGGCCGATTTTGATAGAAAATATCTTCAGAGATTTTTATTTGGAAGACAATTTTTGGATCCATACCTCAGACAATTTTTGGATCCATACCATAATTCAAATACACATAAGTCCAAGAATATCATTTCTCTATACTGATGAATGTAATCTAAAATAAAAATGTACATAATTATATAAAGTAATACACATAAACTATATATTGATTACACATAAACTTTTAAAACAATACACATAATAATAAAGGTCTGAGCAATATCTTTTATTTCTGCTGAGTTATGCAATTCAACATCCTAATGTACATAATTCATAAGAATAATACACATAAACTCCTAACAAAATACACATAACTCCGATGATTATCACTAAGACATGTTTTGATTATCATCCATACTTTGTCATTGGCCTAACATGACAAAAATTAGAAGTTCCAGAACTTGGAGGCACAAGATAACCATCTCCAGCAATATTAGAAATATCATCCTCAACTTGAGACTGAACAGCTGATTTTATTTTGGAAGCAACCATATGTGCAAGATGCTCTCGTCCCCTTCCTTTGTTATATTTCTTTGAAATAACACTACTCACCCTCTTAATTCGCAACCCTTTTATCCGCCTGGTTGATGGATCCTTTATAACAGCACTTGATGATCCTATATCACAATCTTCAAATAAAATAGCACCACAGTCAGCTTCAACTCTTCTCTTGGCATCTGCAACTGCTTGTTCACAGTTTTTCCGTCCTTCGTTGTTTTCTTGACAATAAACAGCAAGCCTATGGAATTTTCTAGTGATTTCTAAGATCCGAACAGAGGATGCAACATTACCACTATCAGCTTTGGGCATTATATCAAAATTATCATCTTCAACGACTTTTTTTGTCCACCTCTTCAAAATATATTTCTCAGGAACTTCAGACACACAGTGCACATTTAGAATGCGTAAACAATGACAATATAGAATCCCCATCTCAGTGAACAACTTGCAACTACATCCAATATCCAGTTGTCTATTGTTAAGGTTCACTTCATGCCTAATAATATCATCAGGCCTCCAAACATGATACTTAAACACACCATCTTTCAACATCACACACTCATGATAGCATGATACACCTTTCATAAACTGTTCTTCAAACAAGTAATATATCTCAATTGTATCAATTTCCCTAACATGCGAAAGAATCTTAACATTATCTATCGACATTTTAGGTACGCCTTGTGAACATCAAATATCTTCCTCATTCTCTCAACTTCTCCACTCCGATATACCACCAACAAATGAGCTATAAAAATCACATAGTCCAGCTGTCTTTGACAACTTTCTAGAAATAGAGTGATTTGTGGTGCCACTCCTTTGTGAAGATAAAATCCCACCCAAATAAATTATCTTTATTAAATGCAGGCACCATTTTTCTCTACACTCATAAAGCTTTTCAATCCAAGAATAATTATGACATTAAATGTTGTAACCATCATGAAATAACATACCATATATATATTATGAATTAACATTTTAAAAATGTAACTTTTAAAAAAATTAAATTAAATACGAAAAAATTAATATTATTTGTAAACTTTACTTATTTTTTTAAACTTTGAATTCAAAAAAAAAAAAAAAAAAAAAAAAAGAGAGATCGAGGACCAGCCCGCGGGGCCCGCCAACCCGCATGGAGCAGGCTTTGGTTGCATGACCCTAGCTTGTGGGTTTGGTGGGCCGACTCGCAAAAGCCCACAAAAAATTAGGCCCGAAAAATTTTTAATCTGCATCCCTTGGAAAATGACTTCTCCCAAAGAAAAGGGGAAGTCATTTTTTCCCAAAACATACATATTTTCCTTTGACTAATACATCATTTTCTATTGACCTCATTTTCCCCTCTTTTGCCAAACACTGAAAACTTGAAAAATATTTTTCGGAAGTCATTTTCTGGGTTTCCAAACGCACCCTTAATGGAGATTGAGAACTTGTTTTGGGAGGATAATTTGATTGTTAAAACTCACGTCCTTTTATTTTGCAATTGTTATTTTAAAATCCAAAAATATAAATATATTACCATTCTTGTTTTATTTGTGATATGATGGGTACGTATGGAAATTCAGAGAACGACTTTCGAAAGTCATTTTTCAGATTTTTCAGTATTTGGCTATCAACGAAAAATGAAGTTAATAAGAAATACTTATTCTGGTCAAACAAAAAGTGACCCATTTAGTAGAAAAATCTTTTAAGATTTTTATTCCAAAGACAATTTTTGGATATATGATAATAAAAATATTAATTATATTTTATTTCTATAATATATTTATACAATTTATGTATTCAAATAAAGTACATTAATTTAAGGTCCAAAAATAAAATTGTCACATATTTTCTAAAAATCTCGTAATGAAATAGCTAGTAACATTATTGTGAATCTCTTTTTAACTATTTTGTAAAATTCACTTAATTGATATAAGATATATAACATATAAACTTTTCTATATAAAAATGTCAGAAAATCAAATAAGAGTTGAAGAGAAAATTAATCCAAAAAAAAAAAAAAAAAAAAAAAATCATTACTAAGCTATGTTGCAAGGAAACTCTCAAGCATAGGCATTTTTGTAATGTGTTCTTTCACGAATTTACAAAAACTTACTAAAATTAAACATTTTAAAGTTATATTTCTAATTTTTAAAAATTTGGAAGTATTTTTTCCAAAAAAAAAATCTAATAATAAACAATTAATTTTTATACATATTTGTAAAAAATTTTGTTTAATCACATATCTCATCATGTTCTCTTTGGCAGGGTTTATTTAGGAGCTTATAACTTATTTTAAGTTACTAATAAGCTATAATGTTCTAAAAATAAACTAGTAGCTTTATAGCTTATTTTAAGCTACTAATAAGCTATACGCTCTATTTGATAATGTTCTAAAAATTAAATAAGCTAGTAGCTTAAAATCATACTCCCATATAGGAGTATCACTACATGGCATCTGAGCACAAGGTGTTTGAGACTCTTTAAGTCATATTTTTTTAAATCAAAGAAATAAAACATTGAACCTACCAAAATTTCATCATATCATGATATCAATACATATAAGTTATTAATTTGTATCTTAATATCTTCCAATATCTCAAATAGAATTTTAACACCAAATTTTCCAAATGGTTAATATTAATATATACTCCACCTAGTACACATTCAAATACATTCCTCTATAAAAGGAATGAATAAACGATTTTTTTTAAATGCTACTGACTCTATTACATTGTACTATCTGTTCAAAAATACTTTCTCAACCTATAACGCCTCCACTGAGGCTTGATCTCATGATCTTCCATATGAGAGAGATCACTACATGCCATTTGAGCACAAGGTACTTGGCAGGAAGGAATAAACGATAATGCATGTAGAATATAACAAAAATAAAATGAAAATGCATGCACTAAAGCAGCTACACCAAAAATAGCTATACCAATCCATACAATCCCTATGTTATTTGGATGTCTTGATTTTATTAAGTTTTAGAAGTTTAGAAATTAGGATGGTAATTTGATTATAAAATATACTTTTTTTAGATGCTGACATAAACTCGCAGCCATTATTTAAAGATGTGAACGGGAATATCCAAACTGATGTTATTATGGCTACTTTGCACTACATAATTATATCTGAAAGAATTCACAAGATGAAATGATGTTTAATGTGCTTGAGCAGCATCCAGATTACCTACCGTCCGATGAACTTCAAGATTCAAGTACTAATATCTCCATCAATGAAAATTTAAGTGAAACCTCTATTGAGATGAAAGAGATTCGCAACAATATTGTTACTTCATTATGCGATGCCAAATCATGATTATGCTAATAGTTTCATTTCAAATTGTTAAATTTAATATGTAAACAAACTTTTTAAAATTTAAAACGAATTTAAATTTTATGAAGGTATCCTTTTTAGTCTCTATTAAGACTCTATGTATTTGAGTCAAATTATAACTCTCTATTCGTGTCTCCCTATGATTTTCTCTTGTATATTTTCCTACAGTTTGTACATTTGTAATCACTGTTCATCTAATACAATTATACAATTCTCATCTGGTATTAGTTAGCCAGGGTATGTTTCTCATGGCTGACGGATCTGTTAATTTCTCAGTATTAAGCTGACTCACAATAATTTCTTGTTTTTGAGAACATAAATTGTTCCCTTTCTCCATGGGCATGATCTAATGGGTTTCATTGATGGTACGAACCCTTGCCCTCCGGCTTTGCTTCCCTCCGACGGCACACCACTGCAACTGAACCCTGCTCACGCCGCCTGGGTTCGGCAAGACCAAGCTCTCCTTTCTATGCTTGTGTCTTCCCTCATCGACAAAGTCATGTCGCTGGCAATTGGACGTCGGACAAGCCAGGCACTTTGGGACGCCGTGGTGCAATCTCTCGCGTCGTCCTCCCGAGCACGTGGCTTGAACCTCCTTAGTCGGCTTCAAGCACTCCGACAGGGCGACTCCTCCATTGTGGATTACATCGGCTGAGCTCAAGTCATCATGGAAGAGCTCACTCTCGCCATCCGCACGATAACCCTCGATGAACAAAACCTCTATGTTTTTCGAGGGTTACGATTGGAGTTCCGTGCTTTAAGCACCTCTCTCGTCGTCCGTGGTCAGCCGGTCACTCTGCAAGAATTGGCGGACTTCTTGGGGGCACAAGAATTCATCGCTGCCGATGATTATGGTGGAGCAGTCTAGTCGCCGACGGCCTTTAATGCACAGCGGCGGCGGCAGACAGTCTGGACGTGGAAGGTTGAATCGGGGAGGCCAATAGCGCGGTAGTGCGGTGGTTCCCAGCGTGGCGGTGGCAATCGGCAGTAGGGGAGCCGCGACAGTAGTGGTCGTGGACGAGGCGGTAACGGTGGTGGCGTTCAATCGAAGTGTCAGATCTGTTGCCGTAATGGTCACACTGCAATCACGTGTTACAATCGTTATGATCCTACTCCTCAAGCCAATTTAACATATCAAGATAGGGGTTTAAATATTAATGGCTCTCATATATGAATCCCTAACACTGGGGCAACCAATCATGTGACTTCAGATATTGCTGCCCTATCAATGTTTGAGGGGTATGTTGGTAATGACACACTGTGTGTCTGTGATGGTATGAGTTTATCAATTAGTCGTGTTGGTCATGCTTCCTTTAATATCTCATCTAGGTCTTTTCAATTATCTAATATCCTTCATGTTCCTAGTTTGTCTACATCTTTGTTGTCTGTTCACCGGTCTTTTTTTGTTGTGAAGGATATCAATACCAAGGAAAAAGAAGAAGACCCACGCATTGGTCGTCGGCAAATGATTGTGTGGACCATGGTCCATACAATGTTATGTGAACCATAACAAAAAGTACATTTTTAATATACTAAATGTACATTATTTTTGTACTGAATGTACATTATACAATATAATGTACACTCATAACAAAAATAATGTGCATCCCCTGAATACAATGTACATTATTTTTGTGCTAAATGTACATTATTTTACCGTAAACAAAATATAGTCCACACAACTTGTGTGGACCATGGTCTATACAATAACGATTGGTAATCGATTTTATTTTATTTTATTTTTATTTTTACGTGATTCAATTAGTTTTTTATTCAGTTACTAGGTTGTATGGAAACGGGGAAATTAGAAATTATAAGACATATGACATATATGTGATTAAAAAGCTAGTTAAAAGCTGACAAGTTATAAGCTAGAAGCGAAAAACTGAAAAGCTATTAAACTAGCTGATTAAGTGTTTGGTAAATTTAAGTTTTTGAAAAGCTGATAAATCTAAAAAGACGATGAGAATTGTATAACAGTACTGTAGGAATATATACAAGAGAGAATTATAGGGAGGCTAGGATAAAAAGTCATAATTTGACTCAAATACATAGTGTCCTAATACTCCCCTCAAGCACAGGGTATACTAGTAACATGTAGCTTGTCTCTAAGAAAAGAAAATCTAGGACTAGGTAAAACTTTTGTAAAAATTTCAGCAAGTTGATCCTTTGTTAAAATAAAATTGACTTGAATGTCTCCAGAAGTAAATCTATCTCTAACAAAGTAATAGTCAATCTCAACGTGCTTGGTGCGGGCATGAAATTAAAGATGGGATTCACAACCATATATGTAGCACCAAGAGTATCACACCATAACTTATGAACAAAAATACCTGGCACCCCGATTT